AGCCTAGGATGGTGTCAGGACTGTGCCATTTTACTAACAAAACTTACGGAAGTGTTGAGTGTGACCTAGGATGGTGTCAGGACTGTGCCATTTCACTAACAAAACTTACGGAAGTGTTGAGTGTGACCTAGGATGGTGTCAGGACTGTGCCATTTCACTAACAAAACTTACGGAAGTGTTGTGTGTGACCTAGGATGGTGTCAGGACTGTGCCATTTCACTAACAAAACTTACGGAAGTGTTGTGTGTGACCTAGGATGGTGTCAGGACTGTGCCATTTCACTAACAAAACTTACGGAAGTGTTGTGTGTGACCTAGGATGGTGTCAGGACTGTGCCATTTTACTAACAAAACTTACGGAAGTGTTGTGTGTGACCTACGATGGTGTCAAGACTGTGCCATTTTACTAACAAAACTTACGGAAGTGTTGAGTGTGGGAGAGCACTGAGAAAGATGCCTTTCAGTACACTTTGAACTCATAGAGGAGTAACCAATGTGGAGACTGTAGGCACAAATTGTCCTTCACTCAGTATGAGATAACCTGTGCTTGTGAGAAACTATTTGTAATGAATTTAGGACATTCTTTTTAAGGAATGACCATGAATCTAAGGATTTATAAAGGAGAGAACCCCTATTAATGTGATCATTCAGGGGAAGACTTTACACTTGCTCTTCTCTCATGAATGTAGACACTGCAGGAAAAGCTTTAGACAAGGTCAGCCCTTAATGGTGTGACATCAGAGAACTCATACTGGGATGGGGAATGCTGTATGAGTAGTTAGTATGGAAGAGCCTACGTATATAACACTTCCTCAAGGTGATTCATACTGGAGAATATGAATGGAGTCAGTGTTGGCCAGCTTTCAAGCATGGCTTTGATCTTATTTGATACTAGAAAACTCACACCAATTAGAGAAAGTCACTGAACAGAACAAGGTGAAGCTAAGATTTGTAATACCTTTTTATTTCATATCAGAGATTAAACCAGAAATGAGGTAGAAATGAGCCATAAATAAGTAGAGTATCAAAATGTAATAACACCATATACTCGTGGCTCCTTGCAGTCACAGATGAGCAGGTATGAGCAATTCTAGTGTACCTATGCTTTTGACTTGTTACAGAAACACCATGTAATCACAGCCTAGAACTTGTGCACAATGTATCACCAAAACAATGTTATAATCAAATGTAAATGTTATCAATATCAATAGTATATCCAGCTTTTTTTTTTAAAAAAAGATTTATTTGAAAGAGTTACGGAGAGGGAGATTATTAGTTAGAGAGAGATCTTCCACCAGCTGGTTCACATCCCAAATAAATACAACAGCCAGGGATGGGCCACGCCAAAGCCAGGAGCCAGGAACCATATACAGGTCTCCCTCGTGGGTGCAGGGGCCCAAGTACTTGGGCCATCTTCCACTACTTTCCCAAAAGCATTAGCAGTAAGCTGGATCAGAAGTGGAGCAGCCAGGACTCAAACAGGTGCCCATATAAGATGCTGGCATCTCAAGTGGAGGCCTAACCTGCTACAACACAGTGCCAGCCCCCACATCCAGCTTTTTACATCATATCTGAATCAGAGAACCACCAACCATTAAGTATCACAGAGGGGCCGGTGCTGTGGCACACAGCGGGTTAAAACCCTGGCCTGAAGCGCCGGCATCCCATATGGGCGCTGGTTCAAGTCCTGGCTGCTCTACTTCCAATCCAGCTCTCTGCTGTGACCTGGGAAGGCAGTGAAAGATGGCCCAAGTCCTTGGGCCTCTGCACCCACGTGGGAAACCCGGAAGAAGCTCCTGGCTCCTGGCTTCAGATCAGCTCAGCTCTGGCCGTTGCGGCCAGTTGGGGAGTGAACCAGCGAATGAAGGACCTCTTTCTCTCTCTCTGGCTTTACCTCTCTCTGTAACTCTTTCAAATAAATAAAATAAATCCTTAAAAACACTTGTGTATTAAAAAAAATAATCACAGATATCATAAAATCTGGGCATCATAAGAATCAGTACCATACATGTAAGTTTACAATGTTCATAGAAAAGGCTTAAGGATATGCCATCCATTTTCCCTGCATAATCCACATTGTCACTTCACAGAAATCAAGTGCATTAAACTAAAAAATGTTTCCCCAAAGGCATTCAGCTATTAATGAGAGGTATCATAAAGAATTGTGTGCATTTCATACTTCTAAGGACATAGCCAATGTTCAGGCAGAATTAAAGATGTACCACAGCCTGGTGAAACCTCCATACTCTAAGGATGATGCAGACCTCACAAGTTCCAACCAAAATCGCTTATAAACAACAAATCTAAGCAGCTGGGTTTGCTCTCCTGAAAACCGAACTCTGGAAGACAAGTAGGGATTCCAGTTTTTCTAAGACTGATTTTATGCTCAACAAAGATGTCACATATGAGGAAAGAATTAGCATTTTGACTTCCAAGGGTTCAGAAATTGTACTGCATATAGAAAAATTCCCCAAAACAACATAATAATAACATAAGTCACTCAACACAGAGGTATGAACTGGGTCCCCAAAAAAGAATGCACTAGTAATACAGAACCTTAGATGAAACAAAACTATCATGTGGAGTGAAAGAATTCTGTCAGAAAAAAAAAATATATGGACTGTATGGTTCCATTTATGTGACGTTTGCAAACAAAAGCTAGCTGATGGAGATAATTAGGATAGAGGCTACCTCTGAGATGATATTGCCCAGGAAGTGGTATAAAGTTTTGGTACTACAGTTTCCCTTGACTTATGTGATTAATACATGTCTATATAAATAAACAGTCATGCAGCTGGAAAGATCAAAACTTCATTTCTGCCATCATATACACTATAAAAAAATCTTTGAGCTGCATGCAGTTAATGGAAAACAGAGGACCCACGCTGCCATTTTAAACAGTTTCAAATTGAAAACAAGTGGGTCTGCCACTGCTGTCGTGTGACTCAAGAGGCTTTGTTGCAAGTACTAGCAAACTCATCTCATACTAACATCGTCAGAATTTTTCACTCACATGCCTGGGGAGTTAGACTGCCAGTGCCACTTTTGTATTAGTGTGATCCAGCAATTCAACGATGTCTCTAAATGCTGCTTCCTTGTACCTTTGCTATGGCTATCTGTAATGCTGGTTATTATTATTTTTTTTTTAAGATTTCACTCCCTAAATGGCCACAATGCTGGGGCTGCACCAGGAGCCAGAAACCAGGAGTTTCATCCAGGTCTCCCATGTGGGTGGCAGGGGCCCAAGCATTTAGGCCATCCTCCACTGCTTTCCTAGGCATATTAGCAGGGAGCTGGACTGGAAGTGGAGCAGCCAGGACTCAAACCAGCACCCAGGAGATGCCAGTGCTACAGGTGGCAGCTTTACCCACTATGCCACAGCACCAGCCCCATGCTGGTTATTCTTAAACAAACTCCTACTGACAGCAATGTGCCTGCCAGCAGAGACTGATGTCTTTTTGGCTTCCTTCGAGAGACTAAACTCTGCTCTTTGTAATCATTTCCTGTGGTTGCTGTAATTACTACAAGTCATTTTTTAAAAATTATTTTCTTGAAAGGCAGTGACAGAGGAGGAAAGACAGAGAATCTGCTGGTTCCCTCCCCAAATGCTCTTAAGAACAGGGGCTAGGTAAGGCCAAATCAGGAGCTGTAAACTCCAACCTGGTCTCCCACTCGGGCTATCATCTGCTGGCTTCCCAGGCACCACAGCAGGAAGCTGGATGAGAAGTGGAGCAGCCTGGACTCAAACATGCACTCTGATACTGGATGCAGCTATCCCAAGCAGCAGCTAAACCTCTGTGCTGCAATGTGTGTCCCAAGAGAAATCTTCAAACAGGAGAAATTTATCCTTACACTTTTTAAAGTGTAAATACACAAAGAGGCCACATTACTTTTTCACTGAGGACAGTACCCGAGGTGGGGAAGAATCCGAGGAAATGCTGTGAGAATAGAAAGCATCCGCAAGGTCTCTGAGTACAGACGCCAAATCAAGACTTCCTACAAACATCAGGATGAACAGTGAGCGGCCTGAAGGCGGACTCTCCACAGTGGTCGTAAGAATTAACAACCCCTGGCACAAGTTATCAAGCAGCACAGGATGACCCGACGAAGGACAAGGCCGCTGAGACGGGGCAAAAACTCCAAGCAACAGGGCACACCGGGCTCTGGGCGGGGCAGGGCAGATCAAGGCGAGACACCACAGCCCCCGGGCCCCAAGGAAGTCCGGACCACACCAGACCCGGGCCCGGGTTCTGGGCAGCGACGGCTTCGCCTTCCCCTTCCTCCATGGACACCTCGGCCCCCGGCACCAAACCTTACTCATCCCGGGACACTGGCGCAGGCTCCTGCAGAGCTCACGCCTCCCTACCGCTGCTCCTCCCGGAACGAGGCGGTCCCGGGCCCAGCCACCCCGGGCCCGCCCACTCTCCGTGAGGCGCCCGCACACCCGCGCGGACGCCCGCCGCGCACGCTCCCCGCCCCTTCTTCCGCGGTGCGCGCGTTCCTCAGCCGCCTCCCCTCTCCCTCCCGCTCCCCTCTGCCGGAACTTGTGAGGCCCTTAGCCCCGCCTCCCCCCTAAACGACGGGTCAGCAGAGCCAATGACGCCCGCTCTCTCCTCCCTCGCAGGAGGGTCTAATTAGTTCCGGACAGACCTGTCACTCCCCCACCCCCTCCCTCTCCCTCGTGGCGGGGGCGGGGGGAGGGCGACACAACGCTCCCTCTGGGTCACCCTCCACGAAGCATGGGGCGTCCGCGGCCTAGAATCCCGCACCAGTGACCTCCTCCTGTACAGTTGGGTTGCCGAGGTGCCCCGACGAGCGCCTTCCTCCTGCACACCCGGCCTTCGCCTGCAGCCCCAAAGGGCCGGCCAAGATGGCTGCCGCCCGAGGGAGGTCGAGCGGAGCGCGCCGCGGGGGCGTCTGGGAGTTGTAGTCCAGGTTCGCGTGCTGACGCACTTCACCGCGGGCCGACGGGCGCCATTCTGCAGCGCGCGCCGGGTGAGTGCGGCGTGAGATCCGCGCCCGTCGGGGGCTGCGCGGGCTGGGCCAGCGTCCACTCCCTGCGGGCGAAGGCACTCCTTTCCCTACCAGGTTTAGGAGCCCGGAGCCGGCCTCACCTGTTGTCCTTGTGCCGTGGAGCCGGAAGGGGCGGTGTGATCGGGGTCGGGGACTGAGAGGAGACTACTTCTTCCGGCCCTGAGGAGGGTACCAGAGCCGACCGTCCCCCCGACGTGGGGGACGTAGGAAGAGGTCTCCTCTGGATCAGGGGGGAACTGATCGCCTCTGGGCGTGTGGGAGTCGGGCCAGACGACTCGCCCTGGGCGTTCTCCCTCTGATGGAGCCGCTTCTGAGCAGAGGCAAGTGAGCCCCTAGGCGTAGTCCTCATGGTCCTCCCCTCTCGACTTCGGTTTTCTCAGGACTCTGCTCACTCTTACGAGAGACACACTGAAGAGGAGGAAAGTATGGCCTCCAGGCTTCCGACGGCCTGGCCCTGTGTGAGTAGAGGCTTCTCCGAGCTTTCGAGTCGCCCCCTGCGGCTGGAGGAGTTCATGCTGCTAGGGCTTTGCTTTCTCAGGGATGCTCTCGGAGTGGGGAAAAACTGGGCACGAAAGCCTGCCTGCTGGAGGGACCGCAGATAGGTATACTGTAAGCTAGGGGAGGGACTGACTAGTCTAAGCAGGAATCGGATCCGTGTAGATTTCAGCAGCTACTTGAGGTTACGTGAGTTCAGTTCAGTAGTAGGAGAGAGAGGTGAGAATGGATCCCTGGCCGCTGAAGGAGGTAGGACCAGCAGGGGTTGAAGGCTTGAGTGTGATGATTCAGCTCAGGAGTTCCTTAGGAGTGTGCACACCAGTCTCGGAGTCAGAACCTGCAGATTAATGAGAAGTGGACAAGTTTTCATAGACCAGAGAGGTCTCACCTCTTGTCTGCCTCTACTGTGATTGAATAGGGTCACGCCTAGGTTGGCTCTGAGTTGCAGACAATAGCAGAAACCCAAAATGAGAGAACTAAAATTCTCTGGGATCATCCTGTAGACCATTCTGTGCTGTTATGGCTTGATCAGTCTCCCTCTTTTTGTCATCATGGATGGGGACCAGATGTGGTTAAACAGAAACCTGTGGGTTTTAGGAACCAGTGACCTATGAAGATGTAACACTGGGTTTTACCCCGGAGGAGTGGGGACTGCTGGACGTCAAACAGAAGTCCCTGTACAGGGAAGTGATGCTGGAGAACTACAGGAACCTGGTCTCAGTTGGTAAGGCTGGCTTCCATGTCAATAAAGATCTGCTTTGCTGTATGAGTGTGGTGCCTCCAAAGTATGTATCTGCTTGGGCGCGGGCTGCAGGGATCAGAGGGGTTAAGGTCCCAGAGCCTGGGAGAGAGGGTTTTTCTTTATACCCATAGGAAAGGGCAGCTTCTCAATATGACTTTTAAAGCTTCACCTACTTTGTCCCTCAGCCCTGGTGAAAACTAGGATGGTGATAAAAATCAGGGATGTGTCCAGCACCAGTAGTGGGTGTTTATTTTTTAATACAAATTTGCTTTAATGTTTATTTACATCTATTTCAAAGGCAGAGTACCAAACTTCCATCCACTGGTTCGTTTCCACAAATGGCTGCAATAGACAGGGCTTGGCCAGGCCAAAGCCAGGACCCAGGAATTCCTTACTGGCCTACCACATAGTTGGCCAGGTTTCAGATACTTGGGCCATCTTCCATTTCCCAGGTGCATTAGCAGGAAGCTTGTTTGGAAGCAGAGTAACCAGAACTCAAACCAGCACTCCAATATGGCATGCTGCAGCAACGGGCACTCCTGCCTATTATTTTCTAACAAGAATTCAGGAGGATGTAATGTCCGTGTTAAACAGCTTAAGAGTATCATTGAAGAACCTGAACCCTTCGGTCTCTGATTAACTTTGATCCTTCCCATCCTCTGGCTAGTCATTGCATGGTGTGGCTCCAGGCCTCCTGTCTTTATTTTAATCAAAGCAGAAACAGAGGCAGGGAAACAGCCCTGCCCACGCCTCCTTCTGAGCTGTCCTGTTTAGCAAGAAAGTAAAATCTTTTCTAGAGGCTCCCCAGCTGACCGATCTCCCTTGTGTCTTGCTGGCCAGAACTGGGCTCCATGGCTGCCTCTACTAGAAGGGAATCCAGGCTAACTGACAAGGAAATGGATATGGTTGGCAGCAGCCTATGCCAGAAGTCATGTGAGCCCTAGCAGAGGAGAAGACAGGGACAGTGTATGCTGTAGCAGGACAGCATTTTCTCCTGAACACGGAACCCCAGCCCCAAGCCCTGTCTCTCTTCCGTTGAGCAGAGCATCAGCTTTCCAAACCAAATGTGGTGTCTCAGTTAGAAGAGGCAGAAGACTTCTGGCCGGTGGGGAGAGGAATTCTTCAAGACCCCTTTCCAGGTGAGAACCGATACATGGGAGTTCCCGCAGGGGCAGGCCAAATGGTTAGGCAGGAACCAGTGTCTTGGAAAAGAGGTGGTAAATGGGAGACTGCAGATGGAGTCTGCTCGGCAGTGTTCTGCTTGATTGAAGCAACCTATTGCAGGGGCAGTTGGTATGTGTTATGTTGTGCTCATTATAGCTCTGTGTCAATCCATTTGGCAACCTCTATGTAATCCACATTTTGTTTTTCTTCTCTTGATGGACATTCAAATTACTGCCAAGAGCAACTTTATACTTTTTTTTTTGCAGATACAAATAGGTGTGTTTTGTTTTTTTGTTTTTTTTTGGTAAATTGAATTTCTAGGAATGGAGCTCTAAGGTGAAGCATTATGTAAGCTAAAAATCTGGTAGCAACAAATTGCCTCAGAAAAAGTTTAAAATACATGTAGCTGCTGATGTACATGAGAGCTACTTTTTCTTCTTCATCAGCAACTTGTAATGGTCTTTGTTAAGATTTTCAGATCAAGGGGCAAAAGATAATGTTTGATCTAGTCCACATTTTCCTTATAACCAATGAAATAGACCATTTGTACTTTTCTGTTTCACTCTTTTTAATTTATGGGAACTCTATGTAACCTGGTGTTAATATTGAAATATATCCTAGACCAGCATTCATGTTCTACCTCTGTGTACACTTTAAATTTTTTATTTATTTATTTATTTGACAGGCAGAGTGGACAGTGAGAGAGAGAGACAGAGAGAAAGGTCTTACTTTTGCCGTTGGTTCACCCTCCAATAGCCGCCGCGGCTGGCGCACTGCAGCCGGCGCACCGCGCTGATCCGATGGCAGGAGCCAGGTACTTATCCTGGTCTCCCATGGGGTGCAGGTCCCAAGGACTTGGGCCATCCTCCACTTCACTCCCCGGCCACAGCAGAGAGCTGGCCTGGAAGAGAGGCAACCAGGACAGAATCCGGCGCCCTGACCGGGACTAGAACCCGGTGTGCCGGCGCCGCAAGGCGGAGGATTAGCCTAGTGAGCCATGGTGCTGGCCTGTGTACACTTTATACAGATGTTTTATAATTTCAGATTTTTCTTTTCAAAACTGTCCTTTTCTGTTCTGTGTTTTTTAATCTTATGTAAGCAGATTATCCAAATACTTTAATATATCCAAGTATTTTTAAAGATTTATTTATGTATTTACTCAAAAAGCAGTGGTAGAGAGATTGATCCGGTTTCCATTTGCTTGTTCACTCCACAAATGCCCACAACAGCCAAGGATGGGCCAGGCCAAAGCCAGGAGCCAGGAGTTCCATTTGGGTCTCCCAAGTGTGTGGCATGGGCCGTAGGACTTGAGCTTTCCTTCACTGCCTTCCCAGGCACATTAGCAGGAAACTGAACAGGAAGTAGACCAATGGGGACTTGAACCAGTGCTCTGATACAGTATGCTGGGGATCGTGAGCAGCAGTTTAACCTGCTAAGCTTGAATGCTTGTCCACTAGGTTTTTTTTGTTTTTGTTTTTGTTTTTTTTTGTTTTTTGTTTTTTGTTTTTTAAAGATTTATTTATTTGAAAGGGTTACAGAGAGAGAAGTCTATCCTCTGGGTCACTCCCCAGATGGCCACAACGGCCGGAGCTGCGCCGATCCGAAGCCAGGAGCCAGGAGCTTCTGGATTTCCCACATGGGTGCAGGGGCCCAAGGACTTGGGCCATCTTCTATTGCTTTCTCAGGCCATAGCAGAGAGCTGGATCGGAAGAAGAGCAGCCAGGACTAGAACCGGCACCCATATGGGATGCTGGCGCTTCAGGCCAGGGCGTTAACGTGCTGCGCCACAGCGCCAGCCCCTCCACTAGTATTTTAACTTGGTTTTGTTTAGTTCAATTTATCTGAAATTTCCTTTTATATATAATGTGGGGCACCACTTCAACACTGTTTTCTGAATAGATGCTTCCTCTGTTGGAAACACCATCTTTGTGTGAACTAAATTCCAGTCATCGTGGTGTACCAAGCCTTTGGGCTCTCCCTTGAATGTCTTGACTATTTATAGTGTTTGGATGAGTAGTAGTTCCCCTCTTTAAAAATCAAGATTCTTAGCTATCCTCAATCACTTACTTCTCCAGATTAACACCTACCTACCTTTTGGGGGTTCCCTGAGAAAATCCTGTTGGGATATATATTACATTTGATTTGGCTTGCATTGATGCCATTACCTGATTGATTTTGTCTTACCTCAGTCTGGTGCAGTTGGTCCAGATGAACCTGTCATATTGCCAAATTCTTTTATCTTTTTAGTAATTGTGTTAGATTCTCATTGATTTTGCCAGTAAGTATAAAGTAGGAAGTAGTTGTGTTAATGATTATTTACCTCTTTTGGACAATCATGTAATTGTACTCTTCACGGTTGGTATTTCTAAAACATTGTGAAAATGAGGGTGTGAAGAATGGACTTCTAGTCTGACTTAAATGGGAAAGTTTCTAGGTTTTTTTTTTTAAGACATTTTTATCGTAATTTTTTTCTTTGTTGTTTTTATTTTATTTATTTATTTATTTTTTTTGACAGGCAGAGTGGACAGTGAGAGAGAGACAGAGAGAAAGGTCTTCCTTTTGCCATTGGTTCACCCTCCAATGGCCGCCACCACCGGCGCACTGCGGCCGGCACATTGCGCTGATCTGAAGCCAGGAGCCAGGTGCTTATCCTGGTCTCCCGTGCGGGTGCAGGGCCCAAGCACTTGGGCCATCCTCCACTGCACTCCCGGGCCACAGCAGAGAGCTGGATTGGAAGAGGAGTGACCGAGACAGAATCCGGCGCCCCGAGTGGGGCTAGAACCCGGTGTGCCGGCACCGCAAGACGGAGGATTAGCTTATTGAGCCGCGGCGCCGGCCCTCTTTGTTGTTTTTAAATATTTATTTTTATGTATTTGAAAGCAGAGTGACAGAGAGGGAAAGCAGATAAGAGAAAGAGATCCTCCATTCATAGTTCACTTCCTAAATGGTCATCATGACCAGGGCAGGAGTCTGGAGCGCCATCTAGGCAGGTCTCCCCCATGGGTGGCAGAGATGCAAGTACTTGAGCCATCATCTGCTGCCTTCCCAGACACATTAGCAGGGAGCTGGATCTGAAGCATAGCAGCTAGAACTCAAACCAGCACTGTGATAGGGATAGCAGCATTGCAGGCTGCAGCTTAACCTACAACTTGTCTTTCTGTTTCCTCCATATCACCAGGAATAACTGAAAATTTGCAGCTTGGGCTGTACATGTCCCTGTCTTCCTTGGGCAAAACCCAAGACTTTTTTTTTTTTAAGTTACACAAGTTTCATGTATTTCATATATACAGATTTAGGAACATAGTGGCACTTCCCCCCAACCCCCCTCCCTCCCACCCATGCTCTAACCCTTCCTCCCCCTCCCTCTCAGATTCTCACTCTTAATTTTTTTTTATAATGATCTATTTTCAATATACTTAATAATTGTATCGTTAACCCTACTCTAAATAAAAGAGTTCAACGAATAGTATGAAGAGAAAGAAAACAAAACACTTTCATGGAAGAGACAAGGGCTGTGAACAATCATCAATTCTCAGAATGACTATGTTACTCTGTTACCTCGGATCAGGGAATGTGTCCACGTATTGATGACTGGATTCTGCTTTAATTCAGCTTGGCTTTTATTTGGATGAAGACATATTCACCTAGCCTTTCTAACGAGTGAAAATCAGAAATGGCTCTAGTTTCATTCCAGAGCTTTCCAAGGCAATCAGAAGCATTTTCTCCCTTGAACAGTTCACGTGGTGATATGGTACACATAGAAGTGCCTTGGTGAATATGCTGTAACGACTTTTTATTTTTAGGGTTTTGTGTCAACATTCACAGTTAGACTGAGGTGTGATTTTCTTTGTGTGTTTGCTTTCTTTGTCAACTTTTCTATCAGAGTACTGGCTGCAAAGCACACTGGATGCTTTCCCTGTATTTTCTGTACTTTGACGCAAGTGGTATTAGAACCACCTGCTGTAGAAGTATTCAGCTGTGAAATCTGTGCCTGGCCCCCATCTTTTATCACAATCTTTTTCCCAGAATAGAGCCAATGGAGTTGGTGTCTCTTTACACTTTTTCTGGTCCCTGTTTCTAGTTTTTCTGTGTTTCAACTGGATGGCTCAGCATTGATATTTTGTTTGTTTTTTTAATAAATTTGTTTTAATTCCATTTTCTTGAAAAATTTTTTAAAGATTTATTTATTTATTTGAAAGTCAGAGTTACATAGAGAGGAGAGGCTGAGAGATGGAGAGGTCTTCCATCTGCTGGTTCACTCCCTAGATGGCCGCAACGGACAGAGCTGTGCCAATCCGAAGCCAGGAGCCAGGAGCTTCCTCCAGGTCTCCCATGTGGATGCAGGGGCCCAAGGACTTGGGCCATCTTCCACTGCCTTTCCAGGCCATAGCAGAGAGCTAGATCGGAAGTGGAGCAGCGGTGTCTTGAACCAGCGCCCATGTGGGATGCCAGCGCTCTAGGCCAGGGCGTTAACCTGCTGTGACACAGCACCGGCCCCTTCTTGAATTTTTTTTAAAGATTTTATTTATTTAATTTGAGAGTTAGAGTTACAGACAGTGAGAGGGAGAGACAGAGAGAAAGGTCTTCCTTCCGTTGGTTCACTCCCCAGATGGCCTCAATGGCCAGAGCTTCGCTGATCCAAAGCCAGGAGCCAGGCACCTCCTCCTGGTCTCCCATGTGGGTGCAGGGGCCCAAGGAGCCAGGCCATCTTCCACTGCTTTCCCAGGCCACAGCAGAGAGCTGGACTGGAAGTGGAGCAGCCGGGACTAGAACCTGCGCCCATATGGGATGCCGGCACCGCAGACAGAGGACTAACCTACTGCACCATGGCGCCAGCCCCTGTTTTGGTTTTCCAGTCTTACCTTCATTTCCTTCTTTGAAGATCTCCTTCTAGCCATTAGCAAAGGTCTCACTAAACTATTCATCACCTGCAGGGTACCTGGCAGTGCAAGCGCTTTATATCTGCCTGTGGTAG